GTCCGAGTAGCAGGCTATCACAGAGCTGTCCGAGTGGCGCGTCAGGGAGATGTAGGACGCGAAGGCGTTGTTCACAACCAGCTCATCGCTCTTGGTGAGATCGGTCCCCGAGAGGAAGAGGGCGCTGCAGGTGCACGCCCCGAAGATGCTGCTGCCGGTGTCGGAGTAGCACATCACCCCGGTGTCCTCGTCGACCTTCGAGCGCACGCTGACATGGATTGCAGAACCGGGGATCTGGCGCGCGGGCGCCACATCTACGGATGGGGAGAATGCAAACACATGAGGGGCGCGTCTTCCGCCACCAACCATGGGTTGGAGGGGGAGGGGTCCTCCTCCTCCTCCTCTTCCTCCTCCTCCTCGTCCTCCGCCTCCTTCCCCCCTCCGACTTCTGGTGGCGGCGGCGGTGGAGGCAAGCCAAACACCCCCCCCCCGCTCCCCCCCCCAGAGGTGGCGCCAGAGCCGCCCCGCGCTGGCGGCGCGGCGCGCCGAGCTCCGACCGGGAGCGGGGCCCCCGTCGCGCCCATCCGCCCGCCCCAGCCATGGGGGCGGCAGGGGGGCTCCGAGCTGGATGCGCCCAGCTCGCCATCGCTCGGACCTCCATTCCCTGTGTTTTTTTCCGTTTCGTGCGTGTTTTTTTCGGCAAATGGTCAAGGATGCTCCTCGATGGTCCTCGCCGACGAAAAAACGCACACGTCCGAGCGATGCCAGGCCAGAGGACATTGGTCAAAGGGGAGGGGGAATGAGGGCGAGAATCTGTTTTTTTTTCACCGCAGAGCATCCGATGACCTCGGCCTGCACTGTAAAACACGACAGCGACGCTGCGCTGCAGCGCGAGACAGAGGAAAACAAGACGGCCGTCGAGCTGTGAAGTTATAAAAACGAAAATCTGAGGAGTGGAGGGTCCCAAGAACAGAGCTCCCGCCGGGTGGGGATCGTGGACCAGGTCGACGGCGGGGTAGGCGGCGGGGCGCTTTCGGGCGAGAATCTGTCGAGTGGGGGGTCCCACGAACAAAGCTAGCTCCCGCTGGGTGGGGATTGTGGACGAGGTCGGCGGCGGGATAGGCGGCGGGGCGGGCAAATTCTGTCAAGATCTGTCCCCAGACCTCCGGGGAGCGAAACCGACAAATCCTTCGAGCCGCGCCCAGCCGTCCCAGCGAGGGGGCCTCCTTCTCCCCCCCTTCTCCTGCTGGCCAGAACCAGTGCTGCGCCACCTCAGCCCCCAGCGCCAAACGGCTGCTCGCGGCGGGCGGATCAGTCTGGGGTCCTCCCAAGAGGGTCCCACCGAGGGCGAGCAGAGAGAGCACGAGAGAGAGAGGGTCTCACCCTGCGGTTCGGTCCGCACATGTACATCGTTGAGTGGTGCTGCGGCCAAGGAGGACGAGGATGTGGACGAGGAGGAGGAGGAACAAAGAGGAGGAGGAGGAGGAGGAGGAGGAGGAGGAGGAGGAGGAGGAGGAGGAGGAGGACTCCAATCTTAACGCACGTTCTTGTTTTTGTCCAGACCTGCCCCACGGAGATGAAGATGAGGCCGGTGGACGTCTCGCTCACAAGCAGGTCCTCGCCCTTCTCCAGCGCGCCGCCGGACAGCAGCAGCGTCGTGCAGGTCCCGCGCCCCTCGTTGCCCGTGTCCACGTAGCACATGACCTTGGAAGAAGGAAGACGACGACGGACGACGACGAGAACGACGACGAGGACGACGAGGACGACGAGTACGAGGACGACGAGGACGACGACGAGGACGACGACCCCCCAAGCACGCGGCCCAGAGTGGTCGTCGAGCGTCGTCCCAGTGGGCGGCCGTGCGGAGGAGCCTGCCGAGAACCCTGGCAAAGGGGTGGGCCGTAGCCCCCACCCCATTCCCGGCCACGGCTTGGTGCCCGCCTGCGGCCCTGCCGTAGGCCACCACAGAAGAAAAGAACAGAAACACGGAAACATCAACTGTGACACTCCGCGCGGACTTCTTGGCTCCGCGCCGGCCCCCCCCCCCCCTGGCGGCGCCTCTGGCGCCGCCCCTGGCGCGCTCTGCGCGCCAGGGCCAACAATTCATGCTCATGTGGCGTTTCTTCCTCGACGCCAGGAGCTGGCTGCAGTCGAGATCGGCGCCGGCCTCCTGCAGCCTCTCGGGGCGGCCGGGAGCTCGTTGGGTGGCCGTGCGGCGTCCCTGGCGGCCGCTTTGGGCGGTCTTCTTGCCGGTCTTGGGGCCAGGCGGGGACGTCCACGGCCTGCCCCCCGGAGGAGGAGGCGGGGAGACGTGGGGCCCCGGGCTCAAGGGGCTCCGGTTGGCCGGACGGGGCGGGGCCATCATGGAAACTCGAGGGGCCCAAGGACACACAAATGAATACACACAAAACCTGACCTGACAAGAACGGGAAGCGAATGTTCGAACGTTCGTTGCAGGTGTGGCATCACAGGGGGACGTCAAAACTGGAACGCTTGTGCGAACAAAGTGACGGTACCCATTGTCGAATTACTCGGGCACTCGGTCCGGCTGGCTTGCAGG